TATTATGGGTATTTTAAACATTTTCTCTCTGGTAACCAACAATGTAGTGCAAATTTGACCCTAATTATATTTGGACTAAATACTGAAAATGATTTACTCTAAAGAGCATAACAAACTTGAGCACAAATTACTTGTCAACAAGTGCCCAAAGAAAAAACATACAGTTTTCATTTTTCACAAAGTAGAGCAAAATAGGTAAATCGACAGACCATTCATCCAGTGCTCTGAGACATGCTATACGCGCATTGGAGGGGAGATTAAAATATAAGTTATGATGGGGTCGAAGTTGGAATAAAGACAGGAGACGACCAGAATATGACCTGATAGTATAGGACTATGATGAGCATCCCAACTCCCTAGGCTAAAGTTTTTGCCCAAGTATCAATTTGAACCTCATAGTAAGGTTTAAAGGGAAAAGAGAAGTCTTTTAAGCAATGCCATATATGCAGGCCGAACTTTTGGAGAATTGCGTTAGTAAAGTGTCCTATAGTTTAGAATTTGAGCTTTCACACATATTTTGATCCGAAATAACTAAAGATAAAGATAGTAATGGATACATAAAATGCGAGTACTTTAGAGTAAATACTTTCTAATACATTTTCTATTAATGTAAAAATACAGATGTACGCTCAGACTTAATAGATCTCTGTCATGCTTTTCTTTGGGTCAGTATACCTTGATTAATCGGAACCAAATTTAGGCTCTATTATAATTACTCATGGCTATAATTGGGGCTTCGTAACCTGACTCACAAGCGTAGGACACAAATAAATGTACACACTAGCCCCCCCCCACACACACGAATAAAAGTATACAAGGTAACATGAAAAAAATTAACTAAATGCTTTTATATATATTTAGTTACATTTATCTATTTTCGTATTTAGTTGCAACTATTTCTGGAATGTAAGGGAGAGCTGGATTTTTTTCTTGACTTAGGGCTAACTTAAAGTGCTCGGAAGAACGAGTTTTAGCTCTGTTGATGTCCTTCATATGACGGACGAAATCTCAGAGCATTTTCACTGAAATCAAAAGAGAATGTCTCGTGGACTGCGTCAGCCTTCAGAGAGAATAAGTCGTCGTTTTGTGGTGAGATCGACCTACAAATCTCTTCATCTGGCACTTCACCAGATTTGTGTAGTGTAATAAGGACCAATAACTGTTCAATTTACGAGAATTGAAAGGGAAGGTTTGAGTTCTATTCGAATTTTACTGACAAATGCCCATCAAATGATACTGTCAATAAAGATTGATTAAAGTTTCGTCCTCGCCCAGGCCCCATAAACACTCCAGCCGCGTATGTGAAAAATGCTGACGTCGTGAAAACAAAACGAAAAAAATGTGTACCAGTCGACATGTTTTAGCCTAAAGATTTCGTATTTACTTAGTGGTCCGTACTCGGAAATAGGTTTTCGGCAGGTAACACGTGTCCCGTCATGGTTGGCACCTATGCCATAAATGCAAAACATTTGTATTCCAACTAATAAGGGGATACATGTATAGCTAGAATCTGTGCTTAGCTCATGACGATAGGGAGGCAAGCAGAGTGATGAAGTTAAAAATGATCGGCTTACTTACTATTATTAGTCAATTCCAAACTCAAATGAAGTTAAAATTATCAAGAACTCTCCATTATCTGAAGCACAATATTTGTATTGTCCCACCTACGCCTTAGTATTATTGCTGAAGAGAGGTATGCTTCTGAGTATTTAGTATGAAATTCAAGCATGAGGCCACACTAAGGACGGTTTCAATGCTCTAAAGTGTTTGATGAGAGGTCAAAACAGCCCCTTCAAATCTAACCGGATACAGAGATTATGAAAAACTAGGCAATTGAAAGAAGCCGTCCATTGTGAAAAGTAAATGCGTTTCGTATGGAGGCACAAAAATTGATTATACAATTTCATGAAACTATTTATTCGAAATGAATAAGATTCCAAACTATCGGTAGGCCTTAAATAAGAACTGAGAGTTGATTTCTTTCACTGAATTTCACTTAGCCTCAGGGTAGAATGCTGTTTTGACCTCGCCTGGTTGTCATCAGCCCCCCAACAAGAATTGAAACCGGGTGGGGCAAGGTTAAGTGGAATTGAATTGCAGCCTAGTATGAATAAAGCTCTTTTATTTGGAAATCATGGAAACACGATGCCTCTTTTCGTATATAAGCAGAGTTCCGAGACTACGATGCATTTTGCCTTGAAGTCTGTCGTCTTCATCAACTAAACTCTTGCCACAAATAGTCAAAAAAGACAGACACAAACGCTCCATTAACCTCACCTAACTTATGTTTGTCTCTTCTTCGTGTGGCCTGTTTCCCTTGCATCTCTGTCGGGAAGTCGGGTAGGTCCCATACCTGAGCAGGCAGCACCGGCATGGTACCTAATCTCTCTTGGAGCCTCGGCTTCTCCTCTGACTTGGTTGAAGTGGTTGTTGATCCGGCGTTGGGCGACACATCGGAATTGCCCATATCCGCGTCCCTTAGCACAATTTGACGAACAAACGTGTGCCGATCGGCTGGCCGTTGTTGTTTCACTATTGCCCCTCGTTCGGACAATGGCCGAGCCTCATTCAATGCTGATAGGTCAGACCTGGAAAGCAGCCGTTCGTCGAGGTTCGGTGTATCCCAATTCCCAATAGATGCTGCTCTTGTTAGCCTGCCTCTTCGTCTGCCCGAGAAGGTCTGGGTTGCAGGAGTCGACAGCCCCACCGTGTGCGTCTGGGACCCGAATGCTGTTAGAGTGCTCGGGGTTGAAGCGGAAAATGCAGACGAAGCCCTAGCTACTGGAAACTTGTGGCCGGAGGCGGAAGCAGATCTGGTGGCGATAGGGGAAGTCGAAGACGGAGATGCCGGAGATCTTACGTCAGTGCTAGTCGTTGTGGGTGTACTGCGGGCAGATGCTTCAGTTGGCGGAGTAGGAGGAGGCGCGTTCGGAAAGAGAGTCACTACTGCATGCCAAATGCTGATGATGACAAGGATCGCCAAAGACATGAGAACATATTTGTCCTGAGGAGAGAAATTCAAATGCAAAGAGGAAATGCTTCACCGGCTGTAGCAATAAAATCATATTTTTGATCCTAACCTCGATTTGCCCAGTACGCCATATCATCTCTTAGTATCTTCTTCAGACTACCGGCTTATTTTTCCCAGCTAAAACGAAGAAAATATATAGGCTGATTGTTGAATTTTCTCACAATTATATTAGTAGGCCTCACGATGTCTCTTAGACTACTTATATACTTGTGGGAAAATTCAATTGAGTCATTCATTACCTTACTCTACTTAGGGTGACTATAAAGCTTATTAAGGAATTAATTATATACTCGAATAATACTTTCTATAGATTCTTTGTGGGTGACCTCAACGGAAACGAGTGTAGGATGACATTTTGGTTATATACCTTAGGAAAGTTGTCAAAAACCCAATCCAAGTGCTGGTATTC